TGCATTTCTCCATCTTGTGATGTTGGTTGCATTTCTCCATCTTGTGATGTTGGTTGCATTTCTCCATCTTATGATGTTGGTTGCATTTCTCCATCTTATGGTGTTGGATGCATTTCTCCATCTCATGATGTTGGTTGCATTTCTCCATCTTATGATCTTATGATGTGTCCTTCAAGCTGGGGCTTCCTGGGATGGCACCCCCCTTAGAGGCCCCCCCGAGGACACCATCTGGCAGAGAAAGGGATGGCTGTTTGGAGGGGGGCTCCTAATTCTTGGTCTGGCCTCTGCTTTCCCCCCCCAGAGGTGCATCGACTGGAACCGCGACATCCTCAAGAAAGAACTGGGCCTGAAAGAGAAGGACATCGTTGATCTGCCTGCCCTCTTCAAGATAGACAAAGGAGGAAAAGCCATGGCTTACTTTCCCAACATGGTGAGAACGGGGTCTGCTGTCCAAGCCCCCAGGCCCAACAAGCCTGTGGAAACATCGGTTAATGCCTTCCTTTGCCCCCTCTTCATTGTTTAAAAATTTGCAGAGATTTTAAACTTTCCTTCTCGCCAAACCTACCATTTGCATTCATCTGTTGTGGTTAGCCGGCAGCAGGTGCAGACGGCGGAGGAGAGCGGGGGGGGGGGGGGGGGGACTCAGAGGGGGGGCCAGGACCATTAGGGAGTGGACTGCTTGCCTTCAGAGAGTGTGGGGGCTGCAGCAGTGATGAGGAGGTTCCCGAGGAGCCCGTGCTAAGTGTGCGTGCGCGCAGGGCTGCTCGTGGGAAAGAGCAACTCCAACAGCACGGGCGACTCGGGAGAAAGGCTGCAAGGGTGAGGGAAGTGGAATGTTCTTTGCAGGAAGCAAAGACGTTTTGAAACTCCAGCCTCTTGGACATTCCAGTATCCTGAGTTTGTATTTGAAGATTCTTGTATTGCAAATTTATTTCTTGTCTGTTATCTTTTGGCAAGTCTCGCCCAGTTTGGCAAGGCTTGTGCTTATCACAGCTAATGATTTTGCAGAATCATTACAAGGTTTCTGTTCCCACCCCCTGCTGCCTTTCTGCCTCCTTCCATTGTCTGGGAGGGCCAGATGATAGCAACAGCACTTAAGACTTATATACCGCTTCACAGAGCTTTACAGCCCTCTCCAAGGGATTAAAAAAAAACAACCCGCATATTGCCCCCCCCCCCCAACAACCTGGGTTCTCATTGGACCAAAGGATGGAGGACTGAGTCAACTTTGAGCCGGTCAGAATCGAACTGCTGGCAATGGGCAGAATTAGCCTGCAATACTGCATTCTGACCACTGCGCCACCACAGCTCTTAAGGCAGGGGTGGGCAAACTACGGCCCGCGGGCCACATCCGGCCCGTTGGTCTTTTTAATCCGGCCCGCCGAAGATTGGTACAGAATTAAGGTTTGATGTGAACGATTGAATGATTGCATTCATTTGATTTTGACTTGTAATGACAGGCATTTCGACACCAGGTGGCGCATTAGGCGCAGGGACTTGATTTTGCGGAGATTTTGCAGTTTTTTTATATGTATCGTATCTTGTGCTGACCCGGCTCGTCTGTCAAATTTTAAAAGTCAATGAGGCCCCCGAGCCAAAAAGTTTGCCCACCCCTGTCTTAAGGGCACGTCCTGCCATGTGCTCGCTTCCAAAATACAAGACCCCCCAAATCCTCACCCACCCACCCCACTTAAAACTCACCCTGGGCTTCATTTTTCTTTAGTACGGTGCACTTAGCGCATTGTTTTTGCAAGAAAAATAAAACTGCCCAGCCGTGAGCCCCTTTCACTTTGACCTTCTCAGGTGAACATGATCGTCCTCTCCAGGGACCTGGGCATCCCCAAACCGTTTGGGCCCATCATCGAAGGCGAGTGTTGCTTGGAGCAGTACGTCTCCTCCTTGCTGGAGCCCCTGGGGCTGACCTGCACCTTCATCGATGACATCTCCTCGTACCACAAGCTCCTGGGAGAAGTCCACTGCGGCACCAACGTCCAGCGGAAGCCGTTCGCCTTCAAGTGGTGGAACGTGGTCCCGTGAAACGGGGCGCTGCCGCTCCCCGGGAAGTCAAGAGGGGTTTCAGACACACACTTTGACCCTCTGGCCGTCTGGCTTGACCCGCGAGAGGGAGGAATCTGGGCGTCTTTTTGCACGCCCGCTTGAGAAACTATGCGAGTCAGCAGGTGCTGTGGGGGAAAATTGTTGGTCTGGACGCTGCAGGGAAGCATGCTGTGTCGATTGGACCCAACTCTTACAAGGAGCATTGCAAGGCCCAGTCGGGTGTCTTGACAACTTTTGCGTGTGGTGTGCGTTTTCTTTGTCCTCCCTAAATTAACCTTC